CCATCTCCTTGGGTGGTTGCCCACTAAGTTTTGTATGTACACATGATCACCAACCTGTAGGGGAGGCAGGCGGTGAGTGTGTTCATTCCACCGTTAATGTTTTTTAATGCCTTTTGGCAAGTGCCATCTCTCGATGAGACATCAACTCGGTCCATGTTTCGTGAGAGAGTATCTACTCAAAAGAATTTTGATTCGACGATTTTTGCAAAAGTTATTGCCCTTTGTTCATTTCTGTATTTATTTTTTGTCCGGAAATTTTCTCCTACATTTTTTTATAGCATGTCAGCTAACCACTCTTAGAATGATGCAGATCTTATTTCAATGTAAGAATTATATAACACTATATGGTATTCGACGGGCGTATATTGTTCCGCCCCGCGGTACTCTTGTTTGTCTAGTTTTAAAGCCGAATACAGGCTGCTTCCCTTGGGTGAACAGTGCACCATTTTCCCAAAATGAAGAAAAATATCAGGATTATCTTCCAATTTCAATGAAAATAATATTAGATTTCTCAATTCATGTAGGAAAGGCTGTTGTAAAATTAAGGTTGAAAGATCACTGACCTTATGAGCCTTCTATAAACTCAAGAAACTTGTATCTATATAGCTTTAAAAAAAAGGTACAAGGGCAGGCCATAAGTTCATGCCTAAGATTAATTAATTATTGACAGACAAAAATTATGGACATGAAAGGTGATGAGAATAGGTTGAAGAAACTTCCTCTCAAGTAACAAACTTGATCAGATTTCTATAAACGATACCGCCTTCCATAACTTCTACCCTACCATATACTTATCACTATGTACACCCTACTATATACATATCACTATGTACACTTCACAATATACATATCACTATGTATATTGTGAAGTGTACATAGTGATATGTATATGGCAGGGTGTGCATAGTGATATGTATATTGTATGGTGTACATAGTTATATGTATATGGCAGGGAGTACATAGAGATATGTATATGGCAGGGTATACATAGTGATAAGTATGTACACCCTACTATATTCATATCACTATGTACACTTCACAACATACATATCACTATGTACCCCCTGCCATATACATATCACTATGTACACCCTGCCATATACTTATCACTATGTACACCCTGCCATATACATATCACTATGTACACCTCACAATATACATATATAACTGTATTTGTCTGCAAATAAGCCCACCCTCTTTGTGAAAGAAGATTGATAAAAAGTCGGAAGAGGTGTTAATAGGAGCATCCCAATGTTCCCGAGCATTCAACATTTCTTCTAATAAGGCAATTAGCCCTGTGTTAGGGTTTTTGCTATTTAGGAAAAATTAATGAAATCAGGCGTAGTGATTTGGAGGGATGGTAAGGGGTTTATTTGTGACCTTCCATCTTATTCCTGGCACATCTAAAAAGTGGAGAGGAAGTTAATTAATATAGAGTACAAAAGGGGGATTATTTTCAGTCAAATGCAAAGTAAATAACTTACACTTTACAATATAGATATCATATGACTAGCTTAATATATGCGGTGAAAGAAAAACTATCGAAAGACAGTGGTTATAAAGGGAAAACTAGGGTTTCGGAAGACTACAGCCAGGAATTGAGAAATATTAGAAAGGAACTACTGGACGCGATACCCAGCATAAAGACTGAAAATCCCGGAATGAAAGTGTTTTTAAATTATGATAAAGTTACAGCTGGGAGAAATATTTATAAATATGAAACCTGTGTAAACGAAGTATATTTTGTAACCGATCGCAGACAAAATGACGGGAACCCAAGTTTTGGAGGATGAGTGTAAGTATACTTTTTGACAAGGAAATGTTTGGATTTGAAAAAGATGTACTGGTATGATCAGTATATATACCTCCAAGTGGTTCAAGTTTTTATACAGAAAACGAACAAAATGGTATAGCAATCCTTGAAGAAAAAATAATTGATATACTAGATAATATAGAAGATGATGAACAGATTATATTGTGTGGTGATTTAATGCAAGAACTGGTGAAATGCAAGATTTTGGAGAAAGTGAGAAATATCTCCCTTTGGGAGAAAATGTAGAAGATATTCCATTTAGCAAGATAAAATTATCTAAGGATTAAACACAAATACTTATGGTAAATCGCTTATCTTGGGAAAAGCGTAATTGACTATGTAATTGTTTCATCACATATTTTTGAAAATATTTCAAATATGATAGTGGAAACGAGGGACATATCGGACCACTTTCCGTTAGTGTGGAGTATAGGTAGCTCTTTAATTGATGCACAACATATTAATCATTCATTTACGGAAAGAAAGCGTTTTAAATGGAATGAGGCATGTAAGGATAAATCAGTTTTCTAAGGATTTTTTTTCCAAATTTTGGGAGAACCTACGTAATAATATAAATAGTGCAACGTCAACATTATGTGAAATTGTATCTCATGCTGCCAAATGTATGCAGAGAAAACCTTGCAGATTTAATACTCAACCTAAATGGTGGGACAATGAGTGTGAATATTTGAAAAAAGAGAAATATGTGTTTAGGAGGACCAACTTGGATGATGATCTACCACGGTACCAAAGTGCGAAGAAAAGATTCAAGGGAGTGTGCAACGTAAAACAGACACGGATGCAAAAATAACCAAGCGGAGGAAGTGCTTTCTCTAAAGGACCCAAATGATATGTGGAAAAAGCTAAAAAGCTTTAAGAGTACAAATAATAATAACTCAATAACTGGAGGACAGTGGTTTAATTACTTTAAAAACTTATTAAAATTCAGCAAAATTTACTGTGGAAGAAACTTTTATGTAAAATGTACATGACACATTAGATGAACATTTCAGTGCAGAAACTCATACTCACAACGATTTACTAGATACTGACATAGAACTGGAAGAAATAAAGAGAGCCATTCATCAATTCAAATTAAATAAAGCTCCTGGTGAAGATGGTTTAGTGATTGAACTTTTTAAATATGGAACTGATGATGTACTTAAAGTGTCTCTGTGGTTTGTTTAACAAAATATTGGAGTATGGGGTATTCCCTACTGACTGGTGTAAAGCAATTATACATCCTATTCACAAAAAGGGTGATGTAACTTTACCATACAATTACAGAGGTATCTCGCTCTTAAATGTTATGGGGAAAATATTTGCAAAAAAGTTAAATAATCGTTTAATTTTCTGGGCAGAAATAGAACAGAAATTTCACGAGGAACAAGCTGGTTATAGAACTGGATATTCAACCATGGATCACTGTTTTTCTTTATAAGCTTTGGTGCAGAAATATCTTAGTAAAAAGAAAGGTAGGATTTATTGTATTTTTGTTGATTTCTCCAAAGCTTTTGACTGTGTACAGCACCCACTTCTACTATATACCTTAATAAAAAAACATTGTTAATCATAAAGTGATTAAGATATTGAAATCTATGTATTCAAATATGATGTCGTGTATTAACACAACAGATGGATTGTCTATATTTTGAGTGTAATGTCGGTACGAAACAGGGCTGTATGTTAAGTCCCTTCTTGTTTGTAATATTTTTAAATGAGGTTATAGAACAAATGAATGAAGCAAACTGCCAAGGAATTTTTGTAGATGCTGAATTACCCAATGTCATGCAGTTACTATTTGCTGATGATATGGCAAACATGGCGGATATTGTTGTAAATTTACAAAAACAAATAGGAATTATTGAATCCTTTTGTAAAATGTATGGTATGATGGTAAATCTTACCAAAACTAAGGTAATGGTTTTTAGACGAGGAGGAATTTTGAAGAAAAATGAAAAATGTTTTTTCAACAGAGAAAGAATAGAAGTGGTACAGTTCTACAAATACCTTGGTATGTACTTTACTTGTTTTCTTAAGTGGAATAAAACTAAGGAAGCACTTGTTATTTCAGCAGAGAAAGGTTTGTTTACTTTATTTAGATTCATAAATACTTATGATTTAGGATGTTCGCAGGCGTTGTATTTTTTTGATCATTTGGTAACTCCTGTAATAACATATGGTGCTGAAATATGGGGCTATTGTTACAGTCCCGGCATTGAAATTGTACAAACAAAGTTTGTTAAAAGACAATTGAGAGTAACGCAATCAACTTCAAACTTGGCTGTTCTGAGTGAATTAGGGAGACATCCCATGTGTATTGTTTATTATAAAAAGTTTATACAATATTGGTTTAATATTTTAAGTATGGACACCTCTGGATATCCACGAAGGTGCTTTGATATGTTAGAAAATTTTCACAATGCTGGAAGAGTAACTTGGGCTACAAATATTAGAGATCTGTTGTACAAATATGGATTTCATTATGTATAGATATATCATGGCGATGTAAATAGTTTTATGAGACTGTTTACCCAAAGAGTAAAAGACACTTGTATGCAAGAATGGGATTTTGGAATAAATAACTCTAATAAACTAAATTTTCACTCGGATGTCAAAACGTTAATTGAACCCGAACGATACTTAAATTGTATTACAAATAAGTCTCATAAAATTGCTCTAACCAGACTGCGTGTATCCAGTCATGAATTATTTATTGAAAAAGGTCGTGAACTAAAAATTCCAAGGGAAGAAAGATTATGTAATTACTGTTTATATACAAACAATACAAGACTCGTTGAAGATGGATATCATTTTTTATTACACTGTCCATTATATGAACATATAAGACAAATGTGTGCATTGGAAAACTATGTTGAAGCAAAATATATGTTAATAACTGGAAATGAAGATAAATTAAGAAATGTTGCTAAATTTGTATATTTAGCTTTTGAAGCATGATCAAATTATATTATATCTATGACATCACAAATTTAGTATTATTAAATCGGAAGTCAGTGCTATATATTAGTAAATTGTACGTTATAAGTTACTCATCAGAAATTGTTTTTGATGTAAAAATTGTGTGAATATGGTTATTATGTACTGTGCAAATTGTACTATGGGCTAGTTGGCCTTGAAATACTTAATAAAATATCTTGAACTTGAAGCTTAATATATCTAACAATACTGATTTATGACTTAAAATTAAACAAAAATAATATTAAGTGTTAGAATATCCTGTGATTGATGACGAATATACTTCCAATAGCCATGGTTACGATGACGAGGAGGCTGTATTGAGGCTGTGTGTTGGTCCCTGTCAGTGGGGGCTGTGGGATGGTCCCTGTCAGTGGAGGCTGTGTAATGGTACCTGTCAGTGGAGGCTGTGTGATGGTCCCTGTCAGTGGAGGCTGTGTAATGGTCCCTGTCAGTGGAGGCTGTGTGATGGTACCTGTCAGTGGAGGCTGTGGGATGGTCCCTGTCAGTGGAGGCTGTGTAATGGTCCCTGTCAGTGGAGGCTGTGTGATGGTACCTGTCAGTGGATCCTGTGTGATGGTCCCTGTCAGTGGAGGCTGTGTGATGGTACCTGTCAGTGGATCCTGTGTGATGGTCCCTGTCAGTGGAGGCTGTGTAATGGTCCCTGTCAGTGGAGGCTGTGTGATGGTCCCTGTCAGTGGAGGCATTGTGACATCAGCGCCCCGTGAAACGTCGCGAGTCAAGTCTTCCTGGACGTACAACAGACGATCAATGATGTGTATGAGACCATTTGTGGCGCCGATATCCATGCTGATGACGTTGGCTGTTACCCCACTGAACTGGATCTTAACATCTAAAAATTAAATAAGACAAGGATGTTATAATTACTGAGGTATAAATATAAATAGAGGATATTATGATTACTGAGGTACAGATATAAAAAGAAGATATCATAATTACTGAGGTACAGATATAAATAGAGGATATTATGATTACTGAGGTATAAATATAAATAGAGGATATTATAATCACTGAGGTACAAATATAAATAGAAGATTTTATCATTACTGAGGTATAAATATAAATAGATTTTATTATAATTACTGAGGTACAAATATAAATACAGTATATTATAATTACTGAGGTATAAATATACAAATATTCCTGTTGCATTTATATATATTTATTTAAACAATGTATGTATGTATAGATAATTGTCTTTTTACTTAATGTATAATGGTGATTTGTATGCTTTATTGGTTTTATCAATTATTAGCTCACCTGGCCCGAAGGGACAAGTGAGCTTTTGGCATGGTGCAGCGTACTTTGTCCGTCCGGCGTCCGTCCGGCGTCCGTCCGGCGTCACCTTTTTACTTTTAACAACTTCTTCTCAATAACCAAGAACCCTAGGTTGATGATATTTGGCCAGTAGCATGCTGGGATGAAGTGCTACCAAGTCTGTTTAAATGAATGACCTTGACCCACTTTCAAGGTGGGTCACATATGTTAAAACCAAAAGGCCCAGGGTACTGATATTGCACCTGTATCATGCTAGGATGAAGGGCTGCCAAATTTGTCCAAATGAATGACTTTGGCCAACTTTCAAGGTCACAGGGGACAAATGTCGTAAAATCTTCAAACAACTTCTCCTCATTAACCAAAAGGCCCAGGGTATTTATATTGGACCTGTAGCATGCCAGGATGAAGGGCTAACAAGTTTGTTCAAATGAATGAACTTGACCCACTTTCAAGGTCACAGGGGTCAAATGTAAAATATTCAAACCGCTTCTTCTCAATAACCAAAAGGCCCAGGGTACTGAAATCGGGCCTTTAGCATGCTGGGATGAAGGACTACCAAGTTTGTTCAAATGAATGACCTTGACCCACTTTTAACCTAATGTCCTTGTTTGACGATCGACACACACAGGCGTCATATGTTTACATCTTTTAATATGTTCTTATGAATCAAAGACTGATATTCTGCCTGTAGCTTTATTTTAGTCCACTTTTAAGATTACAAGTGTGAGATTAATACAAGGTGAGCGATGCAGGTCCATTTGGCCTCTTGTAACTCATACTAATATCCATCTGTTGTAAAGTGCTTTAGAGTAATTTTACAGATTATATAGGGCGGTATATAAATATTGTATATTATATTATTATTGAATACCATATACATTTTATGATTCACAGCAGAATATCGAGATTTTTCAGGAGTGTGAAGTATATACGAAAATATCAGTATAGTCTGCCATACAAGTAAAATACATAATTATGGTTTTCAACAGGAAAACCATTAAATGTTCTGTTTATTACATTTTTTAATAACACGACACACATATTGCTTAGAATTTTCTTGTTACAAAACCAGCAAGTGTTTCTATGTGAGTTTTCAATGACTAGTACATTATGTACTCCGTCACCTTCGTCAGACAAATGACCAATGAATCGTATGCACACAAAGGCGTAACATGTCTACAAGTTGTCCACAAATCGATGTGGATTCGGCTACGCTGTAAGCGAATGTACAATAGTTGTTATATATGAACTGAAATAACTCGATTCAGCTACGCGTTGTTAAATACTTGGTCATGGATGTGCGAGAGTCAATGAGTCCCCTCATCTCGATTTAGAACTGGCCCACTGCGGCATATCCAGATGGCTTCCTTGATCTGCTGCTTGAATACATTGCTCTCTCTGTCCAAAACTTTGGAGTTTTACACATTTTACACATTTGTGTACATACGCTTCACTGGTCATTTGTCTGATGAAGAGTACATACCTCCTAGTCATCGAAACGTCACATAGAAACACTTATTAGTTGTGTAACAAGAAACTTTTCATAATAATCTGGCTCTGATTAGTTTGGCCCTGATTGGAACCCAGCACTTACCTCTGTCCATAGACTTAAGTATACGAATAGACTCGCCCGTCTTAGCTGTAAAGATATGGTTTGTGTTGGATAAGTTCTGCAAGGAGATTTGTCGTCCTTCAAACAACAGTCTCTTGAATAGCTGAAATAATTATAGATTTGATTTTCAAACAACACTGTCTTGAATTGAGATTTACAGTTACACTTTCAACACCCTCCAGGGGTTTCACTTACTTCGCTCTCTGCACCCTACAGGGGTTAAACTTGCTCACGCACTCTGCACGCTCCAGGGGTAACACTCACTAACTAACTGCACCCTCCGGGAGTAACACTGACTTACGCCTTCTGCACCCTCCAAGGGTTACACTCACGTACCTTCTCTGCATCCTCCTGGAGTTACACTCACTTACACTTTCTGCACCCTCCAATAGTTACACTCACTAACGCTCTCTGCACCCTCCAAGGCTTACACTCACACTCTCTGGACCCTCCAGGAGTAACACTCACTTACGCTCTCTGCACCCTCCAAGGGTTACACTCACGTATCTTCTCTAAATCCTCCTTGGGTTACACTCACTTACACTTTCTGCAACCTCCAGGAGTAACACTCACTTACGCTCTCTGCACCCTTCAAGGCTTACACTCACTTACACTCTCTGCACCCTCCAGGGTAACACTCACTTACGCTCTCTGCACCCTTCAAGGCTTACACTCACTTACGCTCTCTGCACCCTCCAGGGGTTACAATCACTTACGCTCTCTGCATCCTCTAGGGGTTACACTCACTAACGCTCGCTGCACTCTCCAGGCGTTACAATCACTTACGCTCACTGTACCCCCTAGGGGTAAGACTCGCTTTATCTCGGCACCCCCAGGGGTTACACTCACTTACACTCTGCATTCCTCAGGAGTAACACTCACTTACTCTCGGCACCCCGAGGGGTTACACTCACTAACGCTCTCCGCATCCCCCATGGGTAACACTCACTTACGCTCTCTGCATCTCCCAGGAGTAAGACTCACTTACTCTCGGCATCCGCAGGGGTTACACTCACTAACGCTCTCGGCACCCCGAGGGGTTACACTCACTTACGCTCTCTGCATCCCCCAGGGGTTACACTCACTTATACTCTCTGCACTCGCCAGTGATTACACTCATTTACACTCTCTGCATTCCTGGAATATGTCATGAAAACATGAAAGGCTCAGAGTGGGCCACCATTGGAATGAGACTAGTTTGACAGTACTGTGTAAAAGGTAACATTGACCAACTTTTAAGTTGGGGGTCACTCCTTTATAATCAAGGAGAGGCATCAGCCTTATTGATTGGTCATTTATTTTTACCCAAGACCAATCAAATAGCTTGCTGCTCTTTCAATTTTGCTTTAACATATTCCTGGGGTACAGAGAGTGTAAGTGAGCATAACACATGTAGTATCGAGTGTGAGTACTAATGTAAATACAGTCTGTATTGTAATAATTTACTCTTTAAATGAAACATACTATCAGTCTACTTCCTCCCCAACTTTCGGGTCACAACGATTTGCATTTTAATTATAATGAAATCATTACAAAACAACACATCCATGTTGTTTAGGCTTAATCCTTCTTACATTAGTTCTAAAAATTAAAATCTTAGATTAAAATACAGGACCAACTTACATATTGAAGTCGATGTGTGTCGTTCATAATCTTCATTCCAATACTTGTCTTCTGGAAGTAGTCTATTGCTGTGGAATTAGGCACGAAGAAAGTAAACGTACACCCAGAGCACATCCCCATGTCATACTGGGACACCTGGTTACTGGTGTTGTAATTGTTGTTACTGTTGTCGTAGGAGTTGCTAGCGTAATCGTAACCAGGAGGGTAGCCGTATAGCTCAAAGTTGCAACGTTTTGCGGTGAAGCGATCATCTGTCAAGTAATTCTTCATTCCTACAGACCGGATGTAATCGTATGTTCTCCTATAAAATATGAATTTTATATACACTTCAGTCCTACAGAGCAGATGTAATCGTATGTTCTCCAGTAAAATATGAATATTATATAAGCTTCAGTCCTACAGAGCAGATGTAATCGTATGTTGTCCTGTTTCTATATTTAACAAACAGTACACTTATATCAGGAAGCCTAGGTCACAGCGAGGTCATACTGACCTACTTCTAGCACTCTCCAATCCCAAGATGTTTTTACGAGAAGACTAGTTTGATCCTTTTGATGTACGTCAAAAGAATCTCGCGAATGGAATAATTTGATTTTCTGAATTTAACATATATTGTTGGACATAAAGAAAATAATCTTTTTGAAACAAAACCCAAATTCTCAATTTATTTTCAAATTCATGATTGCAAGTACTGATCATAATATGTATATACCCCTATCAACCAAACATCATCATATATCACAAATCACAGTATTTATATACTGTATAGTGGGAAATTTTCGCTTCAGTTAAATTTTCGCCTTTATCACGCTCGTAATGAGGGCGACTTAATCCTTACAGCAAACAGTAGTAAACAAAATATCCATGGAAACTGAATGAAAGGGTGAACTTAACATTGGGCGAAAATGGATTTTAATGTTGAAGGGCAAAAATATCACTATAAACAGTATTTACGAAGACCAAATAACATCATGTTTGGCTGACCACAATATAGAAACTAAATGAATGGGGCAAACTTAATCTTTATCGATTTTTTTTTAATGTCGGAGGGCGAAAATTTTACTGGGCAAAATTTTCCCAGTGTACATGCAGTATTTACAACGACCAAATATCATCACGTATCGGTGATCGTAATATACTTACAGCAGCCAAAGATCATCGCATATTAACATGGGTAAGTCCAAATAAGGAATACCCAAGATGGCGTCAATAAGGTGGACTCTCCCGTTGATCGCTTTCAAATCGGGGCGAACAACACGTGCTTTAACAAATCCTCCTTGGACCCAGCCCTCTGTTATAGATATTAAGTCACATTTAACATATCAATGGTCACAGCTCTCTGTTATAAATATTAAGTCACATTTAACCTATCAATGGACCCAGCTCTCTATTATAAATATTAAGTCACATTTAACATATCAATGGACCTAGCTCCTGTTATAACAACAACAAACCTATGACCTTTCATCTATTAAAAGCATGTTGGGTCATAGCACATACGTTTGCCTCTATCCATTAACTGTTTCTGATTTTCTTGTTATATTCTCAAGTTTATCCAACATACCGTTCCTATCGTTGTACACAGTGACATTCCAGCCATCGTACATTGTCTGTCGGTACTGTCGGCTCTCGTAACCTCCAACGATAGCGGAGATCTCAATATATTGGTACGATTTAAGGATGTGGAGGCGAATCATCTACAAGGGATAACAGACTTTTAGTACTTTATAATATCTTATTGAATACAAACTTATTTCAATTTGAAATGTCAACAAATTTTATTGATAATCAATTGGATTGAACATCAGACTTTAAACCTATAAGTTCTCTCCATAATACAATACATTTTATTCAAATAATATCTGGTAATTGATAGAAATGGAAATTATGTAATATATAGTAAGATATAAGCATTGATTACATACTATACTGTGTTATCCATTGAATAAACCCATGTCATATTTTTATGCATATTAACCCATGTAATATGACCTATCAGCCCTGTGATTGGTTGTAAGTTTCAATTGTTTCAATTGTGACGTCACGCCTGGGACAAGTACATGAACAAAATTGTCAGACTTACGCACGGAAGTCAAAATGGCGGCTTTTAACAATTCATGGTTGCATGCAAACTATCGTTTTACACAAATAAATGCCACAAGTCTTGATTATGGGATAAAAAGGATCTGAGCTAAAATGAATTTTTTTGACGAGTTTCATTATCTCATATGAAATGGAAACTCATGTAAGATCCTGTTTATAAAAGATACACATACAGATAATGCAGTTGTGTTTTATATATGACTAAAGTCAGGTATTTCGTTATTACAGTGATATCATGTAACACTAACTTCAAGTGATTGTGATGACAGAAGGAAGAGGGGAAAGGGAAAGTCTTAAACCCAGTTAGTACAAAGAATTTCTCAAACATGATGCATATTAAGAAGTTTCAAACCAGCTTTGATCTTCAAAACATAAACAGCTGTGATCTTCCACTCACACTCACTCAAAGACTTACAAGGCCTGAATAAACAGTTGCAGGTCCGCTGGTATTAATACCCGGAATGTTACATTTAGAAACAGACAAATCGTTTGTTCCACATAAACAAACAGGCCCCTACACATATGCGACCTTACATGTAAGTGTAACTTTCACATGATATAGCAATAACCTTAACCCCACACGTAGATTAAACTTTGATCGTCTAGCTATAACCTTGACCTTACCTTGTCCACCTGAGAAAGGTCTGAGACCAGGTTGACCCCTGGTACCCCCTGTATTTTGATGAAGGCATTGTCAATGGGGACAAACACGTTGACTCCAGAAGCCTGTACAAGGGCGTTACTGGTATCCGGCTGGGCCTTGTTAAGGTACTGGTTAAAGTCGCTGTAACAGAGTTCAAAGTTCAGGTTTAACACATTTTAACAGAGTTCAGAGGTCAAATATAAAAGTCCTATCAAAATGCTATGAGTAGGACACGGTATTCACATATAGAATTATCAGTAGGTCTGGTATAAATCATCGTAACAGAGTTCAGAGGTCAAGTATAAAGCATTGTAATAAAGTTCAGAGGTCAAATATAAAACATTGTATCAGAGTTCAGGGGTCAAGTTTAAAGAAATGTAATAGAGTTCAGGGGTCAAGTATGAAGAATTGTAATAATAAAGTTCAGAGGTTAAGTACAAATGTATAATCAAAGGTCAATGACAAGAGGCCCTTAATATAAGTCAAATGTCAAAGACCTTACATATAGGTCAAAGGACAAAGGGCATTAATTCAGACCAGAGATCTTCCTGCAACAATAAAGAATAGACAATGGCCACACTTGTGTCAAAGGTCATATAGAAGTCATAGGTAGCATGCTTACGGTGACTCCCGAGTGATGATTCCACGAACAGAGTTATATACATAACCGAGGAGGTGGTCGACGACATGGATGACACCGTTGTATACCGTAACGTTTCCTTGCACAATGGACGCATCAACTCCTTCACTGTTTACGTACACTACAACAAAGTCAAATACAATCTACAATCAAATAACAGGTCTGGTATCTCCACATATGTGTTGGGAAGATCACTACATTTTCAGCTTGGTTTTTTTTTTCGTAGAAATTATCCTTTACTCTGGATACGATGAAAGCGTGGATGTGAGCACAACTTTCTATATGTAGGATCAAAGTGTAAATGTGAACACAATTTTTCTGTTGGAAGGATCAATATTACCTTGGTCCCCATAAGGTCTTCGGAATCTTATCAATCGACCGAGCCGGCCGCTGAATCCCTCGTTATGATTGACATACTGCGTATACAACACTTGTTCCGGGATGATATGAGCCTTAAGGACCTAGTAACACAAAAGTACGGACTTACTGCTGTGTTAACTCATTAATCGGAATCAGGCAGTGCAATTCAAAATTCATATGCAAATAAGAAACATTGTTCTGGTTTTGAGTGTTTGCTTATATGATTATTACTGTGATCGTCCGGTAATAAGCCCACCCCTGCTTTGAGTCAGAGATTATGTGTTGGTCATTTGGTTCTATTGCAGGATAAATACGGTAACTGCACAAAGTCGAAAAAACATAATATACATTTCTGTATATCGCTCAGTGGATATGTCCGATCATCATTCAATAGAATGTAAGATATCAACGTTTTACTTTCTACACAAACAACGTACGTATATCAACTGGTCCCCTTCTCAAGCTACTACTGAGTGAGTGACCCGGTCCCTTTGTTAAGCTATGACTGAATGAGTGACTCAGTCATAGCTTGACAAAACGACCAGTCAATCTTGAAACGATGTGGCAAGTTTAATACATACATTATTTGTGCATAAAGTGAAACTTATACAGATTACATAATTCAAATTAACAAATCTTATTGAAAATATAAGAAACTGTGAGGTTTTTAAGACTTAATTTCAATAAATGAGTGTCTCATACTGTCAGACTTTATCAGAGGTGCGTCACAAGGTGATATCAAGCACATATGACATTAGCTTATTTAAATTGAGTCAGGAGAGCTTTAACTCATTGACCCCTGATTTTGATAATGAACTTTTCCAACCTTTGAATTGGAATAGTTCATATGTGTCTTCAGGGGTGAATAAGTTAATAGAGATGAGGGGAAACCTTACATTGTTTAATATCCGAGGGTTCTGCTGGAGATAACTAAGTTTGGATGATGGTATTTTGGCCATGGCTTCATTGCTAGGTACAAAAAGTGTGACCATTTCGTCGCGGTTAGAGAGCTCAGCCAGTGTGCTGTAGTAACCGTCCTGTAGATATTGCGAGATTAGATTGTAAAACATGCTGCAACATAAAAATATATATGAAATTGAGACTTCAATAACAAAGTTTGGGTAAAATTTTGCTGCAACGATACATGAACATACAATATATATCACGATACTGTGGTCACGATGCAAGATGTATCACAATACTGGGGTCACGATTCAATATGTATCACGATACAAGATTATCACAATACTTGGGTCACAATACGATATGTATCAAGATACAAGATGTTTCACAATACCGGAGTCACAATACGATATGTATCACATACTGGGGTCACAATGCGATATGTATCAAGATACAAGATGTATCACAATACTGTGGTCACAATACGATAAGTATCACGACACAAGATGTATCACAATACTGGGGTCACAATACGATATGTATCACAATACTGGGGTCACAATGCGATATGTATCAAGATACAAGATGTATCACAATACTGTGGTCACGATACAAGATGTATCACATTACTGGGTCACGATTCAATATGTATCACAATACTGGGGTCACAATACGATATGTATCACAACACTGGGGTCACAATGCGATATGTATCACAATACTGGGGTCACAATGCGATATGTATCACAATACTAGGGTCACAATACGATATGTATCACAATACTGGGATCACAATGCGATATGTATCAAGATACAATATGTATCACAATACTGGGGTCAAAATGCGATATGTATCACGATACAAGATGTATCACAATACTGGGGTCAAAATGCGATAAGTATTACGACACAAGATGTATCAAAATACTGGGGTCACAATGCGATATGTATCACGATACTGGGGTCACAATACGATATGTATCACGTTACAAGATGTATCACAATGCTGGGGTCACAATACGATATGTATCACGATACTGGGGTCACAATACGATATGTATCACAATGCGATATGTATCACAATACTGGGGTCACAATGCGATATGTATCACGATACTGGGGTCACAATACGATATGTATCACAATGCGATATGTATCACAATACTGGGGTCACAATGCTATATGTATCACGATACAAGATGTATCACAATACTGGTGTCACAATGCGATATGTATCACGATACAAGATGTATCACAATACTGGTGTCACAATGCGATATGTATCAAGATGCAAGATGTATCACAATACTGGGGTCACAATACGATATGTATCACGATACAAGATTTATCACAATACTGGGGTCACAATGCGATATGTATCACGATACAAGATGTATCACAATACTGGGGTCACAATGCGATATGTATCACGATACAATATGTATCGCAATACTGGGGTCACAATGCGATATGTATCACGATACAATATGTATCGCAATACTGGGGTCACAATGCGATATGTATCACGATACAATATGTATCACAATACTGGGGTCAGAATGCGATATGTATCAAGATGCAATATGTTTGTTTGTTTGTTTGTTTGATTTTGTTTAACGTCCTATTAACAGCTGAGGTCATTTAAGGACGGCCTCCCCTGTGTGCAAGATGCATGCATGAAGTGTATGTGTGTGTATTTTGGGAGGATGCGATATGTTCGTGTTTGTCTTCTTGTAATAGCGCGGAACTGATGCCGACTTTATAGTGCTACCTCACTGAAACATACTGCAATATGTATCACTAAACTGGGGTCACAATACGATATGTATCACGATACAAGATGTATCACAATACTACGGTCACAATACGATATGTATCACGATACAATTTGTATCACATTACTGGGGTCATGATATAAGATGTATCACAATACTGGAGTCACGATTCAATATGTATCACAATACTGGGGTCACAATGCGATATGTATCACGATACAAGATGTATCGCAATACTGGGGTCACAATGCGATATGTATTAATATACAAGATGTATCACAATGCTACGGTCACGATACGATATGTATCACGATACAATTTGTATCACATTACTGGGGTCATGATATAAGATGTATCACAATACTGGGGTCACGATTCAATATGTATCACAATACTGGGGACATAATGCGATATGTATCAAGATGCAATATGTATCACTATACTGGGGTCACAATGCGATATGTATTAAGATACAAGATGTATCACAATGCTACGGTCACAATACGATATGTATCACGATACAAGATGTATCACATTACTGGGGTCACGATATAAGATGTATCACAATACTGGGGTCACGATTCAATATGTATCACAATACTGGAGTCACGATTCAATACATATAATAACATTGAGAAAAGAGATATTACAAATTGTTAATGCCAATATTACAACTGGAATTAGACTTTGTCCTGAATGGTCATGACTATAAAGTTTCACTTAATTGACTTTTTTCGATGTGCATGCTGAGCTGGATCTGTCACTCGCCATGTTGTAACGGATATGAGTGGACTAAAGGATGAGTGTATATAAGACTTTGGACCCCATTATATCTGGGTTTTCACCTTCATATCAACAGTGGTTCACGATTACCCGATACCTGTTTATTTCTTGCAGCATTTACGCCCCATATGAAGATTTACGCTTGGATAATCCACCATTTTGTTACATGTGTAGGGATGATCCCAGTCAAAAAATCTGGTACAGATTCCGGACCAAAGTGTAAACTGGCTAATAAATGTTATGAAAAAAATGTATTTGTTACATAATTAACACATTGACCCCTGGAGACACATTTAAACTCCTCCATTTCGAAGGTTGGAATAGTTCATTATGAAACCTCAAGGGTGAATGAGTTAAGCAGCCAACATCACTGGCTCCCCTAGGTGACCACTTACACAGGTTTGACTCCTATCAATTTGCTCTTTCCTTAAACATATACATAAGGGAGATTGTAATTCATGTTGCTCTGTAGAATAAACAAGAAGCCCAGAGGGCCTGCATCGCTCACCTAGATACCTAAGCATTCATGGCAAAATATTCTCCAAATGAGATCAAGGGAATATGCCAGACCACAAGGCTAATCCATGTAGCATATCTGTATTATATTTTTCATGTACAGCAATTTCATGTATGGTTATGGGGTGGGGATCTCAACTGTTTCCAAACTTTGACTCAGAAACTAGGCCCCTAGGGTTGTGGCCAGACCCCAGGATCAATTCTAATATCGTAACTGCATTCGTCTCTTTATGCCCAAAAATTGTATATATAGTTTTGGGGTGGGGATCTTAACCATTTCGAAGTTATGACCCAGGGTGAAGTCTCCGAGGGTGGGGCAGTCTCCCAAGGCCATCCTGGAAGCATATGTGCAATCATCTCTTTATACTCAGCAATTATATATACGGTTATAGGGTGGGCCTCTCAACTGTTTCCAAGCTTTGACTAAGAAACTAAGTCCCTAGGGGTTCGGTCAGACCCCAGGGTCTATTCTGATATCATTACTGAATTCGTCTATTTATGCCCAGCATTTGTATATATAGTTTTGGGGTGGGGATCTCAACAGTTTTAAAGTTATGGCCCAGGGACTATGTCTCCAAGGGTGGGCCAGACCCTAGGGCCATCCTGGAAGCAAATGTGCATATACCATTTTTTTGGCCCCACCCCTTAGCCCGGGGGGTCAGCCCCACCATTTGTACAATTTTGAATTCCTGCTTCCGACCAAATATGATCAATATCCATCTCATAGTTCCAGAGAAGAAGTCGCTTAAAGCAATATAGCCAAATAACCCTTTTGGCCCCGTCCTCAGACCCCTGGGGGTCAGCTACACATTTTGTACAATTTTGAATTCCTGCCTCCTATGAATGCTTTTGATCAAATATGGCTCATATCCACTTCTTGGTTCCAGAGAAGAAGTCGCTGAAAGCAATATAGCAAAATTGCTCCCTTTTGGCCACGCCCCTCAGCCCAACCATTTGTACAATTTTGAATCCCCATAACCTAGGGAGCTTCCAGTCAAATAAGTTAAATTCCAATCAGTGGTTAAGAAGAAGAAGTCGTTTAAATAAATTGTTGACGTACGGACGGACGGACAGACGTACGGACGACGGACGCAACGGTATGGCATAAGCTCTACCAGGTCCTTCGGACCTGGTGAGCTAATAAAGGGAGGTAAGTCTGTTCTCGCTTACCTTGTTTGCACTTTCGGATCATCAGGATCTGATATGTAGCCATATGCCATCTTTATACTAGAGATGCCGATGAAGCGTGAAAGCCCTTGGACCACACCATTGGTAGCGATCAGGTCCTTCTGGTCATTGGAGATTTCTGCTCCATTTACGAAGTACACAGTGGGGCCAAAATACGAACTCTGAAAAGACCAATAGGATGACCTATACCGTTCAATGCTGTAACTCCAAAACAGAAGAATTTCTACTTACATCTGTATTGTGTGTTTTTTCTGACTTGGAGTTACTTGACCATTTATTAAAGCAAAAAGCTATGTTTAAGATGTACAAACATTAAAATTCTCTTTTACACAAAAACCTCCAACACTGGATGATACTGGGACTTTTTCATTGTGCTATTTGTTATGATATTATTACCCAGCGAAATGACAAGGAATAATTTCAACATGTTAAAAGCCCCTGAAAAGTCCTTCAACCTATAATTATCTTATTACAGAGGAAATAACATAGATTTGGGTCATCCTTAAAAAATGGTTAATTTGTTTGTAGTTTCCCTGACTCACATTTTTTTGGCTGGAGTTAAATTGGTATTTTCCTTTATAATTAACTTTAAAATCTCTTGTAACAATTCTAAGTTTTTATGATTTTCCAGCAAAGCAAATATTTTAACCGAAAACAAAGTGTGATTAGGTGCACTAAATTTTAGCAAGTCGGTCTGGAAACTGTAAACAAACAATTTTGAAAGGATTGCCATAACAGTATAAATAATAAAATAATATATCTTTCAATGTTCCTTTAGGTAATTTGAGGAACATTAAACTAAAATTTTTATTTAATTTTCAGTGCTAAGAGAGTCTTTAAGGTAGCTAGGCAGTTGGAGGCAAAGAAAACAATGTCCTAGTTACCGCGAATGAGCTGGTCCGCTGGCGACGGTTGATGAAGATTCTTTCCCCATTGGACGCCATACTCTGGTACGCCTGATTGTCCTGCATATCTCCTGTGGTCAGCCTGTTGTTTATCACTGTAATGAGACAAAGTAGATTACCTCCCCTTGTTTACTATTCTAATGACTGGATTATCTCCCCTTGAAATTAATCGCTGTTACAAGACAATGGGCTACCCACCTTTGTTTACTATTTTGATGACTGGATTATCTGGACTATTATCACTGTAATTAGACAGTGGTCTACCTAGTCAAGAAATTAATATTACCTTACAATAAAAAAAAAAGATTTATTTTATACATCTGTCTCTATTGTTAAAAACATTGCAGGTTTATGATTTCAAATATTTCTGGTAATAATAATGGACTGAAATGAAAATAGTATGAGACCTGTATGAAACCACAGTGCTTATTTCTGGATAATTTACAAAGCTTGTTTATGTCAACCTGGAAGGTTTGAACATGCAGTTTAACAATTTAAAAAATTATATAATTGATGCATAATACAACTACTACAGGTATCAGGTTTGAGAAAGTTTTCAACTTACACGTGTGAAACTTGACGAAGTTTTGAAGTTGTGGTGACCTGTCAGGCCAGCTGTCGATTTCACTTCGTTCATCGTACGATATGCTCTCAAATGCGGTGTTGTTCGGGGCAAACACGGTGAACTGGCCATTGGAATTGTACAGGTACGTAAGGTCCGCTCGGGCTATCAGAGACGCAAACTTTTAAAAGAAAGAAAAAAAGAAAATATGAAATCCAATAACACAATGTAGTATAATTACTATGGGCACTGCAGTGTAAGCTTAGGGATGGGGTGTAAAATTTGACACTGATTTTTTCTTCAATAAGATGCATCAGTTTGGAAATCTGTGATGTCAAACTTTTACTTTCTACACAATGTACAAGATGTACTAGTAAACGTGTCACAACACTTTAAGACCAACATGGTCCTTTTTCAAGCTTAAATATGTACATGTACATTGTTTGTGTAGAAAATAATGTTTTGATATGACATTTCTTTTTATTCTAAGATAGGCTGAACTTTATCTTTTAAGATAACTTTGTGAAAATTTAAAAACATAATGTTTGAACCATTAAACGGATATTTACAAACAAAAAGTCGGACTAGGATTGCCACAAATTCAACAATAATCATCAGACCGGTAATCATAAATATAACACATTATTAAAGTGTTATATTTATGATTACCTCTCTGAATACAGTGCAAGTTTAATTGTTATATTTTTCATTCGTGTTTTTCAATAAGTTGATATCTATAATTTGCAGTCCCTAACATAAACATTTATGACAGTCTGCAGCCCCTAACATAAACATTGTCACAGTCTACAACCCATAACATAAACATTGTAACAGTCTGCAGTCCCTAACATAAACAGTGTAACAGTCTGCAGCCCCTGACATATTCATTGTAACAGTCTGCAGACCCTAACATAAATATTGTCACAGTCTGCAGCCCCTAACATAAACATTCTAACAGTCTGCAGCCCCTAACATAAACATTCTAACAGTCTGCAGCCCCTGATATAAACATTGTAACAGTCTGCAGCCCCTAACATAAACATTCTAACAGTCTGCAGCCCCTAACATAAACATTCTAACAGTCTGCAGCCCCTAACATAAACATTGTAACAGTCTGCAGCCCAAAACATAAACATTGTAATAGTCTGCAGCCCCTAACATAAATATTGTCAGTCTGCAGCCCCTAACATAAACATTGTAACAGTCTACAGCCCCTGACATAAACATTGTAACAGTTTACAGCCCCTGACATGAATAAATTATACTATATACAACATTTGATATAGCGCCCTATCTAGCTAACATAAGCCACACTCTAAAGCGCTTTACAGTACATAGATAGGCAATTAGCATACAATTTATCAATACAATTTTGATGGATTCACAGGAGCTGCCTTATCAGGCGCTAAATACTTGTCCTATGCCACCTGGCTAATATCTACCTATGTGTGTATGCCTCTGTGTGTGATGGAGATGTGATGTGTTAAACTTAGTGTGTACCTAACAGTACATGAATTACGCTTATGGAAGGAACAACACAAATTATTTGCCATTATTTACAGAGGAAAGTCTTGATCATTATAGTTACTGTATCACAGTACGACAAATTTCTTATTTTAACCATTCACCCCTAAAGTCACATAAGAACCTTACAAAATCAAAGACTGGGCATGCGCAAGTGCAGTTTTAATATATAGGCTGAATGAGTTAAATCACTCACTCAGTCAGTTGGTATTGTTACCTTCAAGTTAGTCCCGACAGGTTATCACTGCAAGTTATTGTATTGATTTTTTTTTTTATTAAATCAGAAGATATACTATTTTTTATAGTGTCTTGAAGCTGTTTGTACATAGATTTCAGTATATATAAGTGTCACAAAGCTACATGTACACTCTTTAAAACCCTAGCACAATGTAAACTTTAAACTGTCGATGGTATGGATCTACATATATACTGGTACATATATGTATGCATGATCATGAACTTGTGATGAATGTGTACAGCCTACTCTTGTCATCGTTACTGCATGCACAGTTCTCTTTAAATTAATTATGTATATAGTCATGTAAAGCGGGAATGTTTTAACCTATATCTATACCTGCAGGTTCTGTTACCATCTATGTTTATATCGACATCCAATGATCATGATCACATATATATGTACTTTTTTATTTTCCATTTACATATATACAGAAACCTCAATATCATGCCCCTCATTTCATTTGGCACCTTGTTTAAATTTACCGCCAACACATTAAAATTATATTCAGAACTTGCCAGAAAAACAAAACTACAATAAGCATTCTGTTATTTAAACATATACATATTTTGTCATGAAGTACCATATGAATTAAATATAGCACATCAAGCCATATAAGTGACACATTTTTAACCTGAAAGCACAAAAATCATTTTCCTGTATATAAAATGACAGGTCCGAACTATATATGCCCTGGACTCATACCTGGTCACTAAGGCAACCATAGCTTTTTGATTAATTGATTCACATGTAGTTCTGTATGACACACACCCAAACATGGACACCAGATACCAAAGGGCCCCACACAGGAAAGTAAGTCAGTGCTCAGTGAAATTATATAATATTCAATAATAGCGAGTTCATATTCATACAGTGCTGTGCCAAAAGTGAAGATAAATCCAAGATGGCTGCCATTTTTTTCAGCTTGACACCTCAGAAATTAAGTCATTTGCTACAGGAATTATCAAGACTTAAACTTCCATAATACTTTGTGATACATCCTTTGGCTTTGATGACTGCTTCATGCGCTTCGGGATTGATTTGTACAGTTTTTGGATGAATTCAAGGGATATTCCTGTCCATATTGTGCGAATTGCATCCTCCAAAAATGCATGAGAGGTGATGTAGTGGGCTTGTTTCTGAAGTTCAATCTTAATTTTTCTCCAAACAGTTTCAATTATATTAAGGTCTGGACTCTGGGCTGGCCATTCCAGGTCATTGAGTCTATTTTCCCCAGATCATCAAAGACAGTCATTGCCCACATCCTGAGTTCAGACACCCGGGGTCCATTCTTCACCAGGCTGTCGCCATATCAATACACGGTTGTCCATGCCCGATTCATCACTAAATATCGCGTTCTTCCAGTAATCATTAACAGTTTGATATCTATTTAGTTTACACCAAGCGCGACGTTTTTAAGATTAGCTTTGCGAATTCTTATTTCCTTTTTCACAAACGCACTTGTTAAAATTTGCCTCGTACACTTTTCTTTGCACAGAACGTTTAGATATGGCTTCGGGTCTAACGTTAGTGCAGGCAAATTCGCCTTGCACCTAAATTCGCAACCCTGTGACGAAAATGCCATTTGACGTCATAATAGGTAAGATTTGACGTAAATAACGTCAGCATAGTCTTCAACACAGTTAAAGCCTTTAAACATTCTGACAAGAAGTGGTATAAGAAGGAAAAAGTTATTTTATTTTATTAAAAACAGTTAGAAAATATCTTGTAACGCAACGAATGTTAACCATCGGTCTGTGCGACGGACATCTCGTCAACTAAACTCAATAATCTGAGACCTGTTGGTTGTGATTTAGTATAAATGCATCACATACAAATTGAAAATACTCATATCTTAATGCTAATTGCAGTTTCATCGTCGACTGAGCCGTCAATGAAAGTAAATGATTTTTCTACACGTGTACTTTGGTATATACCATGTATACTGACGAACCAACGCTTATGGAAATAACGAAATGAAGATTTGATAATTCCTTTTTTCATTTTCATGCTATATGTAGATCAATTTAGAAAACAATCAACCAGTATATTTGAAAAATATCGTTTGCGTCTAACATTAAGCCATCTTACAACACTTAAATTAAAATACCATCTAGAAATTTGCTCGATTTATATTTGAAAAGACTTTGTTGTCGGCCTGAAACTACAAGTACGTGTATTGCTGTACAATCGCTGATGATTACGTCAAGAGACGTAAAGGGTTACCAAAGACTGTTTTTTACATGAAAAAGTAAGTTTTATTTACAACACCTGGGGCAGTCTCTGTTGAATTAGTTTTCAAGCCCAAAACATGATTTTGTCAGATAGACCGTTGAAAGCCCTAGCACGACTCTCTCATTCGCATCCGATGAAAAATACATTTGGCACCGATTTGGAAGTTTAAATTTGTTAAGGACTGAGCCTTTATTCTCGGCCTTCTTACTCAAACAGCATTAATCAGTTTCTTCAAGTAACCGAAAATTAACTATCACAACTAACAATATCCCTTTATTTTCAATGTTAAGCATTGTTACACACACACATTTGGAGCTGTTAGTATCAGTACGACTTGTGAAACATAAATATAGAAAATGTTAAATTTAAACACTTACTGAGTACAGTACTTGTAAACAAGTAAACTATGTGAATCTGGTGAAAGTGCCTGCACCTTTGAGCAAAACCACGAAAGGTCTGATGACGTCACAAATGTTGCAGCGTGACGTCATTCAGGCGTGTTTACAACAATGTTTATTTATAGGCATTTCAGTCAATTCTCTTGCTGTACTGGTGCTTATTGGCATTTTGATAATGTGTATTTGGACAAATTATTAACTGAAACCCTTACTAATGTGACGAATTTGCCTACAATTACGTTAAACTCATTAAAAATATTAGTAATTTCACCTAGATATCTCCTTCTGTTTGATTTAGCGATACCACAAAGCTGACAAGAATACCGTTCAGTGAGCTTGAAGGGTCGGCCACTTCTCTCTCTGTTTTCAATCGATCCTTCTTCATCGGTGCAACGAATCACCGAAACGGGACCGAAACAAAAAGTATACGATTATTCCAAGCGAATTACATACATTTGGATACAGGAAACAGTTTTATATTATGTGTGACCGTTTAAAACAAACAGAACCAAAACTACACCGAAAAGAAACGTATTTTAGTTTAAACATATTCTATTGCAAAATAATTGCAAAAGGATTTGGCACAAGTTATTGCAACTTATAATCGAAACTTATAAAGCAACATATGGTTTTTTAAAGGTATTAAATATACATTTCATCACTGTTTGTGACCGAAACGGACATAAACGTAACCGAAGCGTAACAAATTAGAAAATGTCTGTAAGACATAAATGCCCCCGCTGCCATGTGAGATTAGTTTCAATGTTCTATAAAAAGTTACAACCACTT